ATGAAGATGAGACTATTGAGGTTCCAAGAGCTAGTTTTCTCATGGGAAGAGATCAAACAAAACGACAGGGTAAAGGAGTTGCAAGTAGTTCGAGCGACATTAAGCAAATGACACGCAAAATGGACAAGTTTAAAGCTACTTTGGAGCAATACTCAAGTGTCGCAAAAGAGAAGGAAAAATCTCATGACATTGCGATTTAACGAAAAAATACTAGTCACCTTACAGGATGTCAAAGAGAATTGGCATTAAAGGCCAAAGACGAGATTGCAAAAAATATATATAATATGTAGGTTTATCTATGTTTCGTACCCATGCCATCTAAATGACAAACTTGTGAAGAAGTGTGACAAATCTTATGTGACGCTTATGTGATAGCTAAAGGGGTGTGGCAAAAGTGACATCAATCCTTCTAGCCTAACAACCAAATTTGTAGGGTCTTGGATTCCTAGTGTCCGGCAAAATGCTCAAAACTTCGTTGTTTTTTGAATGATTTTGCAGTGTGGTTTGTATAGGGTTGAGTCACTGCAATGTGATGTAGCTATTGACCAAAACCATATTGCAAACCGCAAATACGTTTATTTCATTTTCAAAAGTGATTGGTATGGGTATTTTTGTAGTGCGGTTATGCAATTATTTTTGCGATGCGGTTTTTTTATTTGTGGTTCGGTTATTAATCGCATGAATTTGGTGCGGTTATTTTGTACGGCTTTTAACCACAGTTAAACATTTCAGATTTTTCATGACTCGTTTAGACATTTGAGACTTTTTAGCAGTTTTAAAAGTTTGAATATATTGCTTGTGATAACTAGAAAAACATAAGGTATAAGATAATAAAAAAAACACACTGCACCGTCGGTTTCGTTGCAGTTTCGATTTATCGGTTTCAGATAATACGGTTTCTATAATTGTAGCTTCGCTTTTACTAAGCCTAGTTTGTGAAATGCTCCCATCTTTTGTGAATTTTTTTATATCCTGATGAATCTGGCCCTCCGTATCAGTATTGAAAAATCCAACGTAAATTCTGACTTTTGTACCATGAATGGACCAAGTAGAATATTGTCTTGAACTATATAACATTGTATAAAATGTTATTGATTATGGTTAAGTTTTAGTAGTTGTAACAAAAAGAACATTCTCAGAAAAATAAATTTCTTGATTGCTACTTTAGAGTAGCCTAATTTGTAACAAAGCATCATATCAAAAAAAGGGAATTATGGCTTCTGCAAATGTATTGGTACATGGACCACAAAAAGGTAGACAAAGGCAACCAAAGCAGAGCCTCAAGGTTTTCATTGTTGTTTGCATTAAGGGTTTTCTGGTACAATAAATGATGAAACTCAATATATCCGGGAAAATGCTAAGTAATGTGTTGTTGTATATTTGACCAAAAATATAAACGTTGTTTGGTGTTACATTTGATGTCAATAAAGATAGGTTTGAAAGATAGTTCTATTAAGTTTCTTTTTCTCCAAGATCTTGATTTGTACTATGTTATAAAGAGAGTTGATGATGGTGATTTGAAACACCTTATGAATGTTGTCTCCAATACCACAAATGTTGTTATGTATTTGGTTCATCGTGTGGGTGTCATGTACATAGATCTACTATAGTTAATCAATATGTTGTTGTGGAAACCCGTCTAATGGAAGAAGGTCTTATGTAAATGATATAGTGGAAGATGGTTCGATGAAAATCTATCATAATATGGTGAGAAACAATCAAGCACACGTTTTTTTTTTCTTTTTTTTTTTTGAAAATATTGTAAATGAAAGGGGAAAAGGAGGTGGGTGGGGTATGGGTCCTTTGACTTTCCATTTAATAAATCATAAAAGAAAATATTAAAATGATGTAAAAAGTAAATAAAAAAGATAAAATACTCTTTTTAATTTTGGCTAGGACCAAATTTAGGACTAAACTAAACCTAAATGACCAAAATGCGTAATTTTGAAACTCGTTAGAGTAAGATACTGTTTGGTTCGCAGAATGCTTCTAAAGGAATTGAAATTGGAATTGGAAAATGAATCTGTCAGGAATTTGAATCTAATTCCATATCATGTTTGGATGACAGAAAATAGAATTATAATTAATTCCAGATTCTGTTTGGTTCGCAAGGAAATGGAATTGGAATTCATGTAAAATGACAAAATTACATTTTTTTTTGTCTGTTTTGCTTAATTTTACTTTATTTTCTAACTTATATGTAAAGATACAATATAAAAATTATAAAAATAATAAAATCTCGGCAGTAGCGGTGGTGGTAGTGGTAGCAGCGGCGGTAGTAGTGGTGTTGTGTGATGGTAGTGGTGGTGGTGACGGCGGTAGTGGTGGTGGCGGTGGTGACGGCGGTAGTGGCTGTGGTGGCGGCGGTAGTGGCGGTGGTGGCGGCGATGGTAGTGGTTCTTGGTGATGGTAGCAGTGGTGGCGGCGGTAGTAATGGCGACAATGGCGGTGGTGGCGGCGGCAGCGATAATAGTGGTGGTGGGTGATGGTAATGGTCGTGGCGGCGATGGTAGAGGTGGTGGTGGTGGTAACAATGATGGTGGTGGCGGCAGTGGTGGTGTTTGTGGCGGTGGACTTGGTGGAGGCGATGGTAGTGGTGGTGGGTGATGTTAGTGGTGGTGGCAACGATGACGATGGTGGTGGTGGCGGTGATGGTGGCGGTGGTGGTGGCTAGTGGCGGTGGCGGTGGTGACGGTGGTAGTGGTGGCGGTGGTGGTGGTGACGGTGGTGATGGTCATGGTAGTAGGTGGCGGTTGGCAGTCGATAGCAGTAATGGTGTGTGTTGGTTTTCTTATAAAGAATGTATTTTTGTAATCTGTCATTTTCCTTTATAAGAATGAATATTTTCCATCCAACTTTGGAATGAATATACTTTCCTCCATATATGATGGAAAAATTATTTCATTTAGGAATCATTTTTCCCTCTTTAAGTCCAACCAAACGCTTGAATTCAAGAGAATTGAAATCATTTTCCCTCAAATTTTATTCATTTTATGTAAACCAAACACTTTAAGAAAACTACTAATCGTGGTAACCATTGTTTACAATTTTCTTTATTTTCAAACTATGAAATAAAAGATATATTATTTCTTCGGAAAAAAAGCCATAATTTCAAGTCATACAAGTGGCATGAGTTTGTTTGTTTCGTTGTATAAAACCAATTTTATATAAACACACAAAATATATATTTTATAGTTTTTCATATACTTAAAAAGATATTAATTGTTTATTTATACTTCGTGATTGTATTAATTGCATTATTTTTTTAGTTTTCAATTAAATCAATCAACATGCATTATCAATTTAAAGCAAATACATGAAAAAAAAATAGCAAATTAACATAGATAAGAATGTAATCCCAAACTTAAACTTTAAGTAATTTGATCGAATATGCGAAAATTATAGTTTGTAACTTTGTATCCGCTATACTTTGATAATATCTTGAGTTTAAAATGGTAATAGTATGAACTTTGAACAAACATGTTTGGTCAATATAATGATAACTTCAATATGAACATCTTCGCCATAAATCAACTAATTTAGTTTGGATTAATAAATACTTATCTATTTGGAATTTTTTTAACTCGATATTATTATAACCTAAAGAAAAAAATAAAAATAAAAAAAGAGAACAGAATATTTTTATTCACATTTTGTTGTCTTTAACTTCTATTTATGTTAAAAATTTGGTATCACGGAATATGATGTTCTAATAATCAATGAATTTCTTGATATCTTGAAGATTGTGTAAGTTCAATTTTCGTATTGATATTTCTCACATATGCTCAAGTTTCAAAATTTTATATCTACGATAATCCTCGAGATACTTTTAGATTTAGACACAAAAATAAAAACAACTCTTCTGAAGACTATATGTAATGTTCAAGATCCTAAGATAACAACCAAAGTGACGATTTCTGAGTAGATGTACTCATACATCCGAAATATGGATAAGATTGAAAAAAATAATGGTTTCTATGGTTTGAAAATAGTTTCCGCAAAACAACTGCCAAAACTGATTGGATAAATACAGACAATGTGAGATGTCCCTGGCCGCTTGGCCATATGCAAAACCTTCATTCTTTCCTTTATTCCTCTACTCTAAATCCTTAATCATGTTTTTCATTGCACTTATAACATAAAATTTTGAAGAGGTTTTCGGGGCGTTGCCCTCAACCTTACTCATATCAGTCAGTTGAACCACTCTCAAGCCCCCCGCAAGGGTGAATAACCCCCCTTGATCCACGCATTTCGTCGTGTTCATAATCAAACTTGTCTTGTATACAAGTATGTAGTATACGCCACATACCTTTTTTAACTAACACTTTAACCATTTTGGTACTCATGTTAATTTCAATTACACACCAAATGGCCATCGCCCGAATTACCAACATTTCACCTCTTTCCCAACACAACCATATGCTATGTTGGCTTTTGTATGATCTTACGATTAACTCGATCCTTTCTAACCCTAACACATATTTATAACATTATGTGAATTTGAATAGTTGGCTGCTGTTTATAAAGTTTACTTCAAAACATTTAACAAAAAGAAAACAGTTTCTCTTGTTTGTTTATTTTGGGTAGAGAAAATAGCACCATTATTGATTTTAACCACGCCATAACAATTGACTCATAAAAGTTAGAGAACACCCTCTTTGGTGGCTTAGGAACCAGTCGATTAGAACACATAGACATTCACCACACAAGCTCACCATGAATAGCATAATATAGGCACCATTTTTACCCCTTTTAAGTCATACATAGATAAAATGGCTCGACAAATATGTCTCCATAAAATTTTAAATACATAAAGGTGTTTATTTTCTAGATTGAACAAGTCAATCTGAATGAAACAAAATGACCACTCTACCCTTAGGCTTCCACAAACAAATTTTACAATATTCATCAAACATAACATGAAAGCAGCTGAAATTTTTTTGTAAAAAAGCAGCTGATACATTAAGCCACGTTTTTTTTTTTTTTGGCTTAATCCACTAGGCCATTCGTTCCAAGTTAAGTCAAAAGAAAGTCATGTTTCAAGCATTTAGACAGAGTTTGTATTATTTAGAGAAAAATAAACCATATCACCAATTCCATTAAGGTTCAAAACATTTTCCCTGATTAAATCATAACAATGAATCCAAAATCAAAGACTTGCGATGCCACACACAACATTAAATTTGCTTCATTTTGGATCTGTGAAGAAAGAATTGACAGATGGCATGATCTCAGGAGACTTGTTGCGAACAAACTTCCTCAATCTATGCTCTGCATATTTTTCACCTTCCACAAAGTTATCCAATATACCAGCAGCTCTGTTTTCCTTAGTCACTCTGTACATCCCAATAAAAAAAATATAACTTATATAACAAATTTATACACAACATCCATATTTAAATACACATACAACAAAAATTTAAATTCACAAGGCCTAATAAGCAAAATAGTGTCGTGTTAATTCCCTACACAAGTAATATAAATTTTACCTTCTGACCATATTATATTGTGATTATGGTTGTGTGTATTAAGTGATTATTACAACTTTAGGTAGGAAATATCAAAATTTAATTCTTTGAAAAAAAAACATGATTATAGTTCTCTGGCATAAAGTCGAAATAATCATATTTGAAAAAAAAGAAAAACAAAAAAGTAGCTGCTATAGAAACTGATTCCCCGGATAGAAAACACAAAACTTTCACAACAATCAAACAAAGTTCACATTTTAAGTGTTTAAACCACTAAAAAGCGTTTGGGACCAAGGTGGAACAAGTGTATGACTTGGTTACTAAAATGTCAAAAACTCCAAAACAATGGTACAAAATTGTAATTTGAGTGTTTGAAACTCTTATATAAAGTCTTCTTGACCTATATGGAACAATTATAAACTTGGTTAATATTTATTGACATTGTCCCTAATTAAATTATAGAAGTGTATATTTTCAGAATTTGGTTTCAAAGTTTAGACCATCAAAAATAGAACTTTTTGTTTTTGGCACATACTTTGAAACTTTGGCATTCAAGATATGAATTTTAATTTTTGAGTGCAACTATAGGCAATATAATTTGGATCCTTGAAGTACCGAATTAAGTGTGTTATTTAGTAAATAAACTTTCAAGTGTATATATATATATATATATATATATATATATATATATATATATATATATATATATATATATATATATATATATAGTTCTTTAACATTAATGTAAGGATTATAACTATTGTTCTGCAATATTAATTTATAGATACTTTATCCACACTATGTTTCAGAACCACCTTCTTTTAATTATTCAAATTTGTGAGCTTCGGATTATGAAATGGTAGATATTTTAGAGCTAATGATAAGTTGTCATGAAATTACGATGTTGTGATTAAATTATGCACAAATAAGTTACTAGTATGAAGAGATTCAACTTCAATAATATAATACCTTGCACTGTAGGTATTTCAGCTTGAAAGGGTGCAAACTTGTTCAAAAATGCTTTAAAATGCGATTACAGTTCGTCCGTTGTTCAGTCACGATTACACAGGTTTCTAAGATATAATCCCTTAACTATCCATATTTCCTAATCAGATGAAGCTATGATTTGATTCTAGACATGGAAGCAAAAACTAGTAAACAAATCAAACATAATGTAAAAACCCTTAAGCGACAAAAAATAAAAAATAAACTCACAATTGATTCGCGATTTGTTCATGTTCGTAACTTACATGTACATATATAGATATTTGTGAGGGTAGAGAGAGAAACAAACCTGACTTCAGGGTTGCCGCTAATATTGCGAATCAATTGCATTCCGCAGATTCCGAGAGCGACTGCCATGGCTGCTGCCAGAGGATAACCTATCAAACCCGTCAGATCTATCAGATCAGATTCACAAGGCATCGTTCACGATGAAATAGCTTATCCCTTGGATCGGCATCATATTCAAAACAAAAAAAATACAAAAAAAAAAAAGGAAATCCGAAAAAATAGAGAAGGGTAAAGAAATATCTAATTCTACGAACCTCGGGCCTAACCCAACGCTTGAGCGATGAAGAAGCCATTGTTGACACTCTAGCGGAGGAGAAAAAAAGTGCAAAAGATGAGAAAGAGATGGTCACTGCGAATGAAATGGGGGAGAAGGAGACGCTGACCTTATTCACACTTTATATAAAAGACGCTACCCTGGCTACCCAATCAAGGCAGGATTTTGTGAATACCCCCTGATCTTTGAAGTATTGGTAAATTACACCCCTCAATGTAAAATTTAGAAGCCTTTACTGGCCGTCAAAGCTCCAAATAGCAAATAGGTGCACCAACTTGTTCAACTTGGGTCATGGGTGATCATCATTCATCCCGCGGAAATTCCGTTCATGGGCTTGAGATTTGATTTGTTTTTGCTTTTTAGAAGATGGCACCCAAGTTGATGTTGAATCCGTTTAAAAAAAAAATTATAAATCAAGTCACTTGTGAGAGAGTAGCTTGAAAATTTTCTCAAAGGTTAATGAAGAAATTTTACTAATTAAATCAATAAAAACTAGTGAAATTTGCATAAATTGAGATGCTAAAGAATAAATGTTTGTCCAATATTCAGCCTAAAAATTTTAAAAATAATAATAATAATTAAAAAAAATTTCTCTAAGTGACGGTTTATAATTATGGTTATTTTTGCTACTAGCTCAACTGTTGGTGATTTTGGTGTTACTAGCATATTTTAATATTATTATTATACTATCGAGATAAGTTGAGTTCAGTTTACTATTCGAGACTAGAGGTGCAATGTGCACACTCGGAGCGGAAATACAAGTGTAACACCCAATGTCAAGTATTTTCATTTCAACCCTTAATATTTTAAATTGTTGCAAATAAGGCCCTTACGCTAGGCGTACAAGGTTTGTACGACGGGCGTAAGTCAACACATGAGGCGCGTGAAAGGTGGAGTACACTGGGCGTATACGTGAGTACGTCGGGCGTACTCGTGCAACCTTTAAACCCTAAAAAGTTAGGGTTATGTTCCCTGTTTAAACATCTTAATCTCTCTTAGACCTTCTTATGACTAGCCTCCATTCCTCTAAACCCTAAAATCGAAACTTTATCCCTTAAGAGTGAGATTTGAAGCTTTTGGAGTGATTTTGAGTGTTCTTGGTAGAGAAGGAAGATCATTCAAGAAGTGGTGGTGCATTCAAGCTCTTGGATCCATAATCTACATCCATTTGTTCATCTTTTGAAGGTATAAAGTAAAAGATCTAGTATGCTCAAGAATCATATTAAAATGATATTGCTAATTAACATATGATACTAATGGGTCACACTAACAACAACTTAATATAATTGATCATTTATTAGAAATTGATTTTAATAAATATTCAATAAACTCTTGTAATTGATTAGAAATTATTTATTTATAGGAAATAATAATTTTCATTAACAAGTAACATTACATAATTCATATGGTATGAATTAATAAGTCATGTATAACATTTTGGACTAGATAAATTCTTTTGTCTTTTACCAAAAAGTTAAAGTTTATATTTTATAAACTTGGTTTATAAAATATAAAGGTTTTGTCTTCTTCCTTTTATTATTTTTTGAAAATAAGAGTCAAAGGAATAGCATGGGTTTTTCAATTCTTTAATTGAAAAATCAACCTAATAAACATGTTGGGACATGTTCATGACTTAGGGACATGGTTTGGTCAAAATTATTAAGACCTTGTGGTTAAGAACCTTGCTTTATGCTTTAAGACTTGAGGCTTGCATTTCTATTGCCCTTTATGAGTGAAAATGAAATTGAATGGTGATATAAATTCTCTCTCATTTTTTGTTCATCTCATGAAGATTACTTGCTTCTTATGCTCTCTTTGTGTTTCTTCTTTTGATAAGAACATAAAGCTTAAGAGTCTCGAGAGTTTTATACAAAAGAACTAGCATTCTACATTAAGTGAGTCATTGTTGGTGTCTCTTAAGTTCATCAACTTCCAAGCCTACCAAGAGGACCCACAGAACTACAAAGGTTGTATTTTTTTTCATCTCTTCTTTGGTTGGTCTTGTTTCTTCCAAACTTTGCAAGAAGATCATTGTGGGTTTAAAACTTGTTTTATTTGGTGTAACATCCAAAAATTTTACGCCAAATTTAAACTTTTTCAATCATAAGTAAAACCAAATAGTAATTGTTTACAAAATGTTTTCAATCATTATTCATCAGAGTGTCCCAATAACCAGATCATAAGGATGAGGAGCGGTACGGTCACGCCTTCGCCTTGCCATGATCTCCTGAACTACCTGAAACAATAAACTGAAACTGTAAGCCCGAGGGCTTAGTGAGCTACCCCCAAAATACCAATACCCCGCTGATAATACCATATCAGTAACAACAATCCAAAACCTCATACTGGGACTTCGGCATAACTGGACCGCCACGTGGCCTACAGTCTCCCCGGACCGCTCATAGGGTATGTTGGCCTTCAGCACAAAGCAGGACCGCCTCAACCCAGCAACAAACAAATAACCATGTGCGCATAACTAACGTATACTGGCATATACAAACATCAAACATATCTATCTCACTGACCACCAACATAGCAATCTCTCATACCTAGAGCACTGACCTAGCAGGTCACTAACATATCAATCCCTACGGATCATAAGAACATAAACTACTGTCTATCCTGATTCCGATCTAACAGATCATATCCACATGTAGCATACCATAACGATAACAACTAAAGGGCGGCCTTGGTGCCTTAGACCCCATCAATATAGTGAGGATAACTCACCTTGCAGATGTCGACTCGGTAGATAAACTTCAACCCTCGGATCACTGCCACAAACTCCACCACCTATTACCATAGTATGAATATACCCATAAGTCCTCAACCTTACAAGGTACTATAAACCTACTAGTCAACCCTTGGTCAAAGTCAAAAGTCATCAGTCAAGGTCAACAGTCCATGTTGACCTTGACTCGCCGAGTACCCTCGGCTACTCGCCGAGTTCCTTGAAGTACTAACCCACTCGCCGAGTCACCTGGGTGACTCGTCGAGTTCCTTCGGTTTACGATCGAGACCCTAAGGCCACTCGTCGAGCTTCCTTCTTGCAACTCGACGGTTAACGCACATACATAAATGGGGAAACCTCAACCGACTCGCCGAGTTGTTCATACACTCGTCGAGTCTACGACAATCTTCATTGGACTTGCCGAGTTGTTCTTCCCACTCGTCGAGTTCATGCCTATCTTCATATGACTCGTCGAGTCGACCATGCGACTCGCCGAGTCCCTCCAGTCCTTTTTGCCATACAGACTCATTTGAGCCATGCAGCGGCTCCAAACTACAGATCCAAGCTTCTAAGGCATGCTTTTCACGTAAAGTTGCAAACTTTACGTGCATGCATAGCTACAAAGGCTCTTAATGTCAAATCCAAGCTCAAATGGGGGTTTCATACTCAAAGAGGCTTCATACATGACCAAATCAGAGCTTTATGACTCTAGAACCCAAGAAGGGTACAGATCTGAAGTTACAATTTCAGATCTAACTCATATCCCACATCACCATCTCAACCAAACCATAAAAACCCTAGATCTCAACAAAAAGGTCTAGAAGGAAAAGAAGAAAGGTGACGACTTGATACCTCCAATTGATGCTATCTGAGGTAGATTTCTGATTTCCCACACTTCCTTGCTCCTAGCCTTTGTTCTCCAAGCGCTTCTTCTCAAAATATATCCTCTCCAAAGCTTTAGACACACAAGAGTGAAACACACACGAATTAGGGTTTTCTGAGCTCTCAAAGACTGCAAAGAGGCCAAAGGAGGCTTATGCTTCCTTAAATAGGGTGCAAAACACCGGGATTTAGGGTTTCATCTGCCAGCTCCTACTCGTCGAGTCCCTTCATGGACTCGGCGAGTAGGCCACTAATTACGCGAACCAACCCGCTGCTACTCGACGAGTAGGGCAACAACTCGTCGAGTAGGCCTTGAAACCAATTAAATTCTTATTTAAACAATACCTGAGAATCGGGCGTTACAATTCTCCCCCACTTAAACTAGACTTCGCCCTCGAAGTCTGCTGGAATAAACAACGCCGGGTAATGCTCTCGCATTTCCGCCTCTGGCTCCCACGTCCACTCGGATCCTTTCCGATGCTCCCACTACACTTTTACCAAAGGTATTTCCTTGTTCCGCAAAATCTTCTTCTTCTTTCCAAGATGGCTACAGGCCTCTCCACGTAATTCAGACGCTCATCGACCTGAATATCATCCAGCGATACTACTGCCTCCTGATCTATAATACACTTTCGCAATTGCGAAACATGGAACGTGCTATGAATTCGGCTGAGCTCCTCCGGTAGCTCAAGCCTATAAGCCACTTGCCAACCCTAGAATATCCTGAATGGCCCAATATAACGGGGACCCAATTTTCCCCTCCTCCTGAAGCGGATCACACCCTTCCAGGGTGAGACCTTCAGAAGTACCATGTCACCAACCTGAAACTCGAAACTAAATCCGATCGGCGTCTGTCAGCGTAACTCTTTTGCCGACTCTGAGCGGTCTGCAGCCGCTGTCTGATCTGCTGGATCTTTTCGGTAGTCTGCCAGACTACCTCCGTCCGACCCATCACTCTGTGTCCAACCTCACCCCAACAGACCGGGGTTCTTCATCTTCGACCATACAACAGCTCAAAAGGTGCGGCGCCAATACTGGAATGATAGTGTTGTTGTAGGCGAACTCTGCAAGCGGTAGATGGGAATCCCAGCTCCCACCGAAATCAATGATGCACGCCCTCAACATATCTTCGAGGGTCTGAATGGTTCGCTCACTCTGTCCATCGGTCTGCGGATGGAACGTTGTACTAAAGTGCAGCCGCGTACCCAGTTCCTCATGGAACTTCTGCCAAAAACGGGAAGTAAA